CTTATGTTGGTGTCTCTGATGGCAGAATACTCAAATGGCAAGGACCCAATCTTGGTTGGAAGGAGTTTGCCATACCTTCTTCAGACAGGCATTTTATTCTACATCTGCCTGCATGAATACAATTACTTTTTCTTTCCTTTCATGTTTCTTTAAATTGTATTGGCTGCAACTTCATGTTTAAGAGACGCAAACACTTCTGTTTTTGATAGTTTTTTTTTGAAAGGTGTAAGATTTCATTGATGCATCAGTCTAACGTTGTCATGTTGTTAGACTATGAAAGAATCCCAAAAAAACTCCCCCTCTGCCAGTACTCCACTCCCCTCAGTAAGAATTTAAAACAGGGCCATTCACCTGGACTGTTTCCAGTTCTTACCGAAATGGTTTTCACTTGTTGCCAGCCCACTGTACATTACCAAAAAAGGTTTTACACATCATGCTTAAAAAGCAACAGCCATGCATTACCACTCAGGTACAGCCACGAATATATAGTGAACATGATCATCTTGTTCGAAACTGGAGTTTGTTGAATTACATTAGAATTTTGACCTGGACAATGATTTGCTCAACCTCATGATGGTGTCAGTGATTCGGTTTGCCTATATAAGCACTTGTTTGGGCCTCTTTTTTATTTATTTTTTATAGATATTTTTATCCAACATGCATGTCTGCTAGCTAGAACATACACCTAAAACCATACAGTTGGGTCAGCTCTTATGGAGCTAAGATATTCAAAGAAGTCAACCACAATACGACTTCCAACTCTTATTTCACATTGTATTATCTGTTTTTCAACAATTAGCTTTGAAAGCTAAGCTGACAATACTGTTGCTCGGTTAGCGTTGACCCAACATTTCTTTCCCTTTCCTATACTTAAGTACTACTTGAAGTCTTACCGATTTTAAGAACTTGAATACCAAAATTCTATATAAAATGGTTACTTTGTCTAGTTCGTTCTCTTAAGTTAAATAGTACTTGTTGACTTGAAGAACTTAATTTGGGATTATTCACCATATATTTGTTCTAATAAAAGAAAATTACTATATGGTATAATAAGCAACTGATTGATTGCTGGTTTCTTTGATTTTTTGGGTTAGGGATAGGAAGGTGTGCGATGGGTCAACAAATCCAGACCTTGAACCAACATGTGGAAGGCCACTGGGTCTGAAATTCAACAGTGCAACATGCGATCTCTACATTGCAGATTCTTACTTTGGTCTCCTATTGGTCGGACCCAATGGTGGGGTGGCTCAACAACTTGCTACTTCAGCTGAAGGAGTACCTTTCAAATTTACAAATGCTTTAGACATTAACACCAACACTGGAGTAGTTTATTTTACAGATAGTAGCATTATCTTCCAAAGAAGGTACCTCAATTTTTCTCTCTATTGACATATAGATATATATAAAAGAAAATTGATTATCATTATTATAATGATGTAGGCGTTATTTTTTATCACCAATGATGTTTGATAGAAGCGGAAGATTACTTAAATATGATTCTCAAACCAAGGAAGTAACGGTGTTATACAAGGGTTTAGCGTTTCCAAATGGGGTGGCTTTAAGCAAGGACAATTCTTTCTTTTAGTTGCTGAAACAAGTAAAATGAGAATTTTGAAGTTCAACCTGGATAGTACGACAGACAGTTACATTCCAGAACAGTTTGCGCAGTTGCCAAAAATGCCAGATAACATCAAGAGAAATGAGAAAGGAGAGTTTTGGGTAGCACTAAACAGTGGAAGAGGAAGGATCCAAAATGGCGGCGAGACCAAATTGTCTGGTGAAACAACTATCCCTTGGTTTCCCCTAGATCCTGTCGGGGTCAAATATGACCCAGAGGGAAAGATTATGAAGCAGTTGGATGGAAATGGTGGAATCAGATTTGATTCGGTCAGTGAAGTTGAAGAATTAAATGGAAAATTGTTCATAGGTTCAGTAGTCAAACCTTACGTTGGCGTCCTAGACACCTAAATTTTCAACTTTTGTATGCCACTCCATAGAGTTTTAAGTTGAGAGAAGATATTTCTATTGCATATTAGTTATAATTACAGAGTGTGGTCGGCATCTGCCTCTTGATTTCTGAATTTTATGCACTTACAGCATATCTACCATATTGTCATCAAGTGAACCCATATGTTCAGTTCCCCACTTTCCCCACCTTTCAATTTTAGGAGTCGTTTATACAGTTCTACACCCACTTGTAATATATAAAGAAGTATGTATGATCCAGGTCCTTTCCTTCAGGTGTCATGTATTATCAACATTATATTCAAATGCAAGAACCTAACTTCAGTGGTAGAGTTGGGATTTCACATTTAAGGGACAAAAATAATGTTTATAAAATAGTTATATTAGAGTTCAATGTTTGACAAAAACATGAAGTAACTTAAATAGAAAAAATTCATGTAAAAATTACACAAATAACTCCAATTACGTGTTAAGTACAAAACAAAAATATTTTTTTAATAACTATTACATACTAAGATTGGAAATCTTTAATTGAGTTCAATAGTTTTTCATGGAGTTGAAGGCATTAATAATTGAATCAATATCAAAGCCTAGAATAATTTTCTTTTTGATGACAATGATCAATGGATTTTTGAGAAAATCATTTGACATTCTATTACCAGTTTCTTTCTTAACGAGTTTCATAGAAAAAAAAAATGCATATTCTGATATTGTAGTGAAAACTGGAAGAGTTAAGACAAGGTAGATCAATTAGTATAAACTTTTGATATTCTTATCTTTTTTTAACACTTGACATAACTTAAAAAGTATAGACATATTTTCAAAACCTAATTATGAAGAATGTCAAACTTGAATAAATTTAATTAATAGCTTTGATGCATTTTATCATTCTCAATAAAATCATCAGGGTAATATTTATTTGTAAAGTTGTAAATATTTTCAACATCAAATAATTTGAAATCATTCTGAGGGTCCAAAGATGTGCCAAAAGTGAGCAACTCTATCGTATTCTCATTAAATCTAGAATCCAATTCTTACAAGAGTGAGTCAATAGTAGCCAGAAACAAGTTAACTTGATCATGGTACTCAATTATGGCATGATCTTTTTGAAGACGATCTTTATCTAATTTATATCTATTCGTCAGAAATTTCAATTTCATATGTCTCACAAAACTTTTTCACTAACACAAACAAAGGTTTCCATCAATCTTTTCTCAATTGTTGGAGACGCTTTTTCGTAAACAATACTAAACTAATTGCATTAAGTATGCCTTGAGACTTAAATTGTAAAGTCATTGAGAGGTCATTTGTTATCTCCAACAACCCCCTCATAAGATATAAGATAAACACAAATTCAAATAACGTATTGGTATGCTATAAAAATTAGAAAATAAGGGGTCAAATTATAAAATTAGAAAATTATAAAATTAGAAAATTATAAAATTATTGTAGGGTTAAAATTATAAAATTTAAAAAAAAATAAGAATTGCTGTAAAAATTTTAAAATTTTTAAAGGTCCTCCTCTCCACCTCTGCCTAACCTGCTTGAAATTAGATATTAATTTGATTGAAGATTGATGGATAGATATCCACCACAATAAATTATATATACATTTAAGTCTTGGACGAAAGAGTTTCAACACCTAAATTTTCCTATATATTCTATTCTTAGACGACAATGTCTTTGACGAGCCGCAATGTTTGTTGGCACTGAAACTAGATACAGATTAGTCATGAACTCGTATCAAAATGAATTTGCCAAATATTGAATCACAACGGCAGTACTTCCAACCTTCCAGTGGAACAAAAGTTGCATGTAATTATATAATTTTTAGAGTAGAGCGATTGAAGAAATGAGAACGGTCCATGAATTATGAAATCTTGAAATTATATTAGATAAGTAAAGAAGAGATTTTAAAATTATATACGAGAATGTTACGTATATTAATAAATTAATTATTTAAAAGAAGATAAGGATCTCTCGACACATACATACGTCTAGAGTGACAAATGAACAAGAGCAATTACTCTAGGTCTTGTAAATAATAATCAATTGGTTGATGGTTGACAGGAATACATCTCTGTATTAATTGGCGTCGGCGTCTTTTCTGTCCTTGTAAGATTTTGCTGGATTCTTCATTGCCAAACTATCAGCCTCATGCAGCCGTTAACTTGGAAATTTGGAACCAATAATTCACAAGAACAATCCATTAAATATAATCTATATCTTCGGATGGACTAATAACCATTGGCAGGTGGGTGGTGCGCAGGTGTTGACGTATATTTACCCAAAACTATGCTCCAACTGTATACCCATAAGTTTTCGTATTTGGCCTATTTTCTTTAATTTGTTTTTGTGTATTGCATAGAGATTCGACAATTTTAGTTAGTTACTTGTAAAACTCTTTATTTGGTACACAAGAGTTTTAAACTATATGATTTCTTTTATATGAAAAGAGAAACTATGTTTTCAATCATTTAATTTCATTGCTTCGACAGTCTTTGTCCTGATTTCTATGTTACTCGAGGTGAATATGATGAGGATTCCCGTTATCCAAGAGAAGAAAACACTGGCAATTGGTCAGTTCAAGCTTGGGATATGCCATGGTTACCAGGTCAATCCTTGGGGTGATTTGGAATTCACTAGCAATGCTGTAGAGGCAATTGGATGTTGATATCCTTGTAACTGGTCTATGTCATTTGGGTATATCAAACTCAGTAGTACAATCTGAGGCCAAGAGACTATATTCCCGCGACATGGACTGTGCTTTCAAATGAAATCATGGTGGCTTTTGGCTTAAAAAACTGGCCTCTGTGATGTTTCAACCATGGTGGTGATATATGAGGTGGCTAGGAATGCAGCTGCACCGTCCTTTTATTACTTCTATATCAGTTATTGCCTCTGAGCTTTTCACGGTTCTCATTCTTATCTGGGGTTTGTATTCGGTAGGAAAAGGTAGTTTGAATTCAAATAAAAATGCTAAGTTCAAATTAAAGTTGTAAAGGGCAGGGACAGAACTAATCAATTTTTGTTGGGAATCAAAAATAAAAAAATAATAGTTAAAAATTTTAAAATCTTATATGTTGAACCTAACCAATTATTAAATAATTGATAATAAAAAATAATTTTATATAACATATTAATCAAGAAAAAAAAAACTTACAATAGTTAATTGGAAAAATTATACTCGATTATATTTTTTGGATTAAAATTCATCAATTATTAAGTAAGTATTGAAAAAACCCACATATAGCATAACAAAATAGAAAAAAATGTAGTTGATGATTCATAAAAATTTGAAGAAGAAAATTCATAAAAATTTAGAATATATGAGTAAATAGAATAGAAATAAATAAATAAATAAAAATATAAATTTAAAGAAGAAAAAAAGCTATAAAGCTAAGTAAGGCATGTGAGATATTTTGTTACTTTTTATTTATATTAATTATTAAATAAAAATTATTTTGAGAGAGCTGTTCAGAAATTATACAAAAAATTTTAAAAGTTTTATATAATATAAGGGGGGGCCATGAAGTAAAGGAGGCACCACCCTCTGGAAGAGGGATTCACACTTTTTTGAGTAATAATAATTCTGCATCAAATGCTACTCTGTTTAAATACTAAATGAATCGTTGGCTTCAATATTCTAAACCATCTTGTTATATGTAACCTTGTGTTGTATTATTTTAGAACATCTAGATTTCTAAATCTAAGCCAACACTTTTCTTTTCTTTTTTTTGAAAAGGGGGGAAATTTCATTAATAGAGATAACAAAAGTTAACCTCCAAATTGTACAATTTACAAAAGAAGCTCCTGACTATACAAAAATCAGATTCAAGTGTCAAATGTCTCAAAGGCAGCCTTGTAAAACACATTCCTTATGAACAACAGCACCCTGCACAAAATAGACACTTCTTACTCAATATGAAAGATAGAAAGTTGCAATGTCTGACCAAAAATCAAGCAAGAGAGGCAGCCAAGATGCCCCAACCACAGACTCTCTGCAACACACACCTACAACAGCAACATCCTCAACAGAGTTATAGGATGACAATAAGATATCTGATATCCCCAATCGCCACTTATCCCAGAAAAATAGCAGAAACATAGGATCAACCTAGAAAACCAGTAAACCATCGTCCAGCAGATGACAAAATCCAAAACCAAACTGTATCCCTACATCAACAACAGAATGGGGAGAAGGAAACAACACAAGCCAAGATCCCCATTAATCTTCAAAAATATTTGGGACATCATTTTGGAGCACACCCTTCTTAGCGAACCTATTGACAGTATAGTTTTTCTCTCGAAAATTGTGATTCACCTCCCATTTTTATAATCCCTTCTTCATTTTCTCAATGTGTAAAATCCACTTCCGGAATCTCTATGGTGTTTCAGCTGGTGCATTAACCTATTTAACCACGTTTATAGAGTTGCTCTCAATGCAAGGGAGTGGGATAGAGCCCACTTGGAAGTTGATAAAATGAGGAACACCTCCCTAATGGCTCTCACTTCCCCAAGGCTGGCATCACCCACCCCTACTAATTTGGAAAATACCACTGTAATTTGGCCTTTCTCATCGGGCAACACCCTTCCTATTCTTACTTCCTTAGGGCACCCTTGGGCTACCCCATCAATATTAAACTTCATCTCGCCATGTCTCGATTTGCACCAACCCTCCACAAGTCTATCTTTACTCACTTTCCTCATTACTGGTCCAAAGGTTGGGTTTCTATATATGTCAAGGACAGTCCCATACTCTAACAGCCATTTTGCTCTAGCCAAAATTGCAACCTTGGGTTTACTTTCTTCGTACACTTGACTAGCATTCCAATCTTTCCCTCTAAACACCTTGGCGTTTTTATGAAGCCATATGTACCATATAATTTCATGGAACCCCACTTTCCATATATTTTGCTTTCCCTGTTTCACATAGGTACTATTCCAACATCTAAAAGAAAGTTCCTACATCTTTAGGCATAGCCCACTGAACCCTCCATTCATCACACCATCTCATCCAAACTCTTCAACTTTCTTTGCAATGAAAATATAGGTATCTAACAGTTTCCAACTCATTTTGACACAGCACACATTTGGTAAGGTCATTGAAAATCATACCTCTTCAAATCAACTCAGACTTGATTGCCACCCATTCATACAAGAGCTACCAAGTAAAAACTTCAATTCGGAAAAGAACGAGGTCAGCCCATATATCTTTCCATGGTCCCTAATCGACAGTGTTTGACCGCATCACCTCTCTACAAAAGGATTTGATAGAGAACTGTTCCAAAACTGTCCCACCCCAAACCAACATATCCTTAAGGTCCTAACTTAAGTGGTACCCCTCCACT